GGTGGCCAGGTAGATAGGTAGAAAGTGCTTAGAGTAGGTAGGCCATGGGTGGGCGCTGCTTGCTATGTGTGTGGTGCTTCTGTGCGAGCCCCTTTACCCGTAGCCCCTAGTCTGGGGGGGCACCCACGGCTACATACCTACTGTACCGATGATCCCAAGGTCTCACCTTCGGGCTTGCCTTCCCCTAAGCTCAGGCTTGGGCGAGTTCTGTTACTTGCCAACCTGGCTCCGGGCGCCTAAATCCCAACTGCTGCTATTGCAGGCCAGAGCTTTGCCCGAGCTAGGGCCATTCCTAAACATGGTGGCATGATGCTGTAACTAACTAGACTACTACCCCTGCAGGCTTCCCCCCTTGAACCCACTGGGCTTCAGGATCTTCTTCATCATCTTCAGCCCATGCGACCAGTCTGTCTTCGCCCGTTTTTTCTGAACAACAATTCCGGAGTTCTGCCTTAGCCAACCTTCCTACCACTAGGCATTCCACTTCCCACTTCCCTAAGTTCCAAGTCCAAATATAAGCACTCGTTCAATCTCCAAGTGATACATCTCCCCCATAATTTCTTTTCTTCATTCTCCGCCGCACCGGGCGCGCTAAATACCAGTTGCAGCCTACTGCAGTCTGCAGCCTTCAAGCAGAGTATGAGCTCGCAGATAATCCTCCAGGAGGCTTCCTCGTGCTTTGAACAAGTAACAACAGAGTATTGGCGCTTCCTGACTCCATGCCTATCTACTCCGTACTCCAAGCGCTAAAAAGTCGACCCTGCTCCGGCTTTCTGAAGACAAGACCCAACCCACTCTTTCACTACCCGTAGTCACTCACTTGCAGGCTAGGCTGCCTTGCGCGACAACTACTGACCGCTTCGAGGGCCTACACTCCATGGACTCTGAAGAAGCGGGGTTGTTTCTGCAGGTACGGAGTAGTACCTCTCGTACTCCGTAGTAGATTTATATTTGCGTCACACTGTTACTTAGCAGTGATGATCGCATGACAAGATAGGGTTATTTCATAACATGTCCAATAAACAATTGACTATAAATTTGTGATGCGGGTAATGGCTGCGGATGGAAGCCCTGCCGCAGGATATATATCGTGGCTGCGCATCGGGCCGTTCTGGTTCCAATTTTGTTCACCACTCCAGATAGCATAGATCATCCTGTCAATTTCTAAGAATAGCGTACAGGGTTTTGAGCGCGACGCGACGCATTTGAATAATTTGATGCTAGTTATCCTACCGTGGCTAGGTACCTACCTTGTCGTGCTCTTGCGCGAAAGGGTGTGGAGAAAATCGAGCTTCCACAGTGGAATTATGCTATAGCGTTGCTTGGAGTCCATAAATACGATTCTACGGTCCTTGATGGCAGGAAGACTTGTTGACCCGCGGAATTACCCGGCGTTCAGCATAGATAATGTAGATATTGATCTTGATATTCGAGTTCTAACGCCCCATTCGATACAGGGTACTTCTACACAAGAGTATTAAATGCGGTCAAACATGCCTTTGTACAAAAGCTAAGCGCAGGCTTAGAACTTGAACACCTGGTCCTTGCTGTATCCCAGCTCCGCAAGAATACCAGTCAGCTCACCCTGGTCCTTGGGGCTGACCTTGGGTCCGCTGATGGACTTGTACATGCCGGGAGGTCCACAGACAAAGATCTTGATGTTCTCCTCCTTGGGCTCGGGGAGGACGGTCTTCAGTAGCTCCTTGGTGATGTAGCCCTTGCCGCCGGTCCACTCCTTCGGAGGGTGGTCCAGCACGTAGAAGGCCCGGAAGCGGCGGGGGTAGGTGTTCTCCAGCTCCTGCAACTCCTTCTTCAGGAGAATGTCCTCCTCACGGACGTTGCCGAAGACAAGGGTGACCTTGGTCTGGTCCTCGGGATCCTTGAAGATCTTGCGAGCCAGCTGGTACATGGGGGTGATACCAGTGCCACCGGCGATCAGGCAGATGTGCTTGTGCTTGTTGGCCTCCCAGGGGTACTTGGGGATGGGTCCCTTGAACTCCAGGCGTTGGTCGACGTTCATGCTGTGCAGGTGCTCAGACATGGGGCCGTTGGGGTAGACCTTGACGACAAGGTCGAGGTAGCCGGGTTGCTCTGCAGAAATGGGGTCAATTACTGCGGGTATATACCGGAACAGGGCGCGTACCTTCATCGCTCACGGGTGTGTAGGGACGGATGACAGGCTTCTCGGCGCCGTGGGGCTTGAACTTGGTCAATAGGGCAGCTAGACGGCGAAAAGTCAGCTATGAGACAGCCCAGCACCTCCAGGGAAGAGTCTACCCACATGCGACATGAAGACCAGAGACAGCCTCCTTGTCAGGAAACTCAAAACGCAGTCTCTTGGTGTTGGGGCTGAGATTCTCGATCTGAGCCAGCTTGAGATCAACCCAACCCTGGTCACCGCCGGTAAAAACCTTCGGGCGCTCGGCAGGGGGAGCCTCCGCGCTGGCAGAGTTGTACCGGTACAATCCCACACCGAGACCAGTGAGGCCGACGGCGACGTAGATGGGAGCGAGAGAAGACTTGCCCTTGGAGGGTGCTTCCGTGGAGTATTTGCGGAAGCCCTGCGTGCGTGTCAGTCAGCGGGTGTCCTTCCTCCGATCCTAGAACTAAGACCTAAAACTGTTCGGAGCCGTGTTTTTTTACCTGCTTCAAGGGCTGAGCAAAGCGAAGAGATTGACGCGCAAACATTGTGTATGTAATTGACACAAGCTGGTGGTCAATTGAAGGATAACCCGAACCGGAAAACACACAAGAGGAGCGGGCGGATATCCAACCTTAGTACTCTGTGGATAGGGAGTACCTACGGAGTTAGTTCTCGCTGTTCGGATCCCACTGTCCGTCTTACTTACTGGTCCGCATGACGCAATACCCGTTCCTGACGGTAAGGTATTTGTCAAATCATTAGTAATCGACCGGGGTTTTTAATTGAAGTACCTCTCGAGATAAGATGGTAATGAATGCCATTGTATGCTGGGCTGAGAAATTTTCTCCATGAAGATGCTATAGTTGTGGTTTTTACAGAGACATGACCATGGTGGACGCTATACTACATTCTGTAGCGTTGGTTGTAAATTGCGCTGATGGTCTCGCGATATCCGACGGAAGTCCAAGGAAAAGGCAATGAAAGTAGTGAAGCTAGACCTCCACGGAATAGCTCGACCGTCACCACATGTGTCATGGTGTCAAACATGGTGCAGTTGTACCATCAGTCACTCAATTGCCGAGCCTTTCCGGTCTCACCCTGCCTGTAGTATGTTACTGCATGCAGGGTTTCTACGCGGACTACCTCTCAGATAGAACCATGGTATTAAAAAGAAAAGAACCCCGGTAATTTTTTTGATAAATAACTTGCAAGGGTCGCTGCAGAGGACTAAAGAGACATCAAAAACATCCGTCCCATCTTCTGGGCGGTAGATACACGCCTTGTTCTCCGCGTGATCCGTGTCCTTCTTGCATGCTATGGCCATAACATAGTCATTGATCCGCACACTCCATCTCCCATAACCCAAAACGTCATATCTAAGCGAAGGTAGAGGGTCTCGAGTAGGCAAAGACCTTCTTGCCAGCAGGCTTGGCGGAGCGGTGGGGAAGAGGGAACTTGAGGTTCTTCTGGAGGAGCTGCTTGATGTAGGGGCGGCGGATGGTGTCGGCCTTCTCGATCTCGACAACCTTGAGGATCTGCAATTCGTTAGACCTCAGTGGAACTTGTGCTCTTCAACGCGCTTCAACATACATGGATGGAGCCGAAGCGGGCACGGTGACGAGCAGCCATGTCCTGGTAGAGGGCCTCAACAGCCTCGGTCCGGCTCATCTCACGGAACTCCTTGTACATGTTGTGGGTACCGGAGCGAGAGTCGTAGCGGAGCCAGATACCGAAGTTCTTGACCTTGAGAGGGCGCTTCTCGTGGATCTAGCAAACAAGGAAAGAGACAAAGTCAGTCGACCTCATCTTGACCGAAGAATCCTTTCCCATAGTAGACATACCACGTTGAGGCTGACGATCTCACCGTTGGCCTTCTTGACCTTACGGAGCTGGGTCAAGAAGTACCAGAAGCGCGACTTGGCCACAACGGTGTTGGGCGCGAAGATGCGCATGCGGTACAGCTTGGGCGTGGGGTTAGCCTCGGTGGGCAGGTGACGCCCGATGACCTGGTACTCGGTGAGACGCCCTGTGAGACACACCAGTCAGTGACTGTTTGTTCAAAGTATATCCGAATCGAATAGAAAAGCGTCTTCGATCGTTGCATTGATTCCCGTGCGAACGTCAGAATCGATGGCGCGTGTGTTCAGATCTGTATCTTGAAAAATTTCGACAATGTGCGACCGCAATATAGCTCGACCTCCTTCTTCAATGAACAGTCTCATTCCGTATTTCCAAAAGACCTTGCGCACTTCTCTCGCTATCGGTGTATCCTCCATTGCCATTGTCGCCCAGGGCCTATTTCTTCAAACTTGTGTCGTTCGACGTTCGCAGGAAACCATTGCAACCGATCCGACGGGGAAATTGTGCGAGTTATCGAGGGAAAAAATTCACTCACCCATCTGGAAATCTGGTTAGTATCAAATGCAAACGACAAAAAAAGTTGATAACGAGGGTGGTGCTCACTTTTGTCGACTCTGTTGTGGTTGACTGTCGAGATAGGTGTGCCGGCTGGTCTGGTCGAAAATGAGGATTTGTGAAACTTGTTGAGTTAGGGCTGCCGCCCTTCGCCTAAGCGACTGGGCAGATGGGGCTTGACTCCGACGCTATACCAGATATGGATGCTCAGCCACAGCGGCTGATAAGGGCCTCAGGAATCCACGGCAGCACGCTGTTGTTCCCCACCTTCCCCCAATCACGTTCGCGACCGTCAAATGGAGAAGCCAGGAAATGGATGATGACACCAGAGCCCTAGCTCCATAGATTGTCCGGGTTGTTTGTTGAAGATATTTCTATCATTGTAAAGCACTGACGCTTCGACACGATAATCTAGGACTCTGGTTACAGCACACAGTCTGCCATGGCGTCTGTCTTTACAGACTTCAAGGAAGGCCAGCAGAACGGGTCTGGTCCTCGTTTGGCAGCAGCTCTTACGCCCATCGCAACCTCCGAAAGCCCCGATCGCTTGCTGTCATTCTACAACTTCTCTGACTCCGACCATATTTCCGCAGATCTGCGCTATTCACTTTTTCAAGCGAACGGCGTGAAGCTCCCAAAGCAAGAGCAGAATGGCTGGGTTGACATCTTCGCAGCGTATTGGAAGGCTGTAGGAGAGATCGTCAAGTTCGAGGAGTACAACCCGTCAGCCAGCTGGGCCAAGGTCTTTGATGCTTGGAAAAATGTGGCAAATACTCTCATCAGAGGCTACACGAACTTCGGGCTTCAAGCATGGACGGTCCCGTGTCTCTATGTGGTGGGGAAATACTTGAGGGTGTTTGCGATCAAAGCAGATGCTGAGATTTCCTCTAAAGGAGCCATGGCTTTTGGTGACCAGTTCCAAGATGATGTCGCGGCGGATTTCGAGAAGAGCGCGAAGCTCGAGGAGGCTGCGCGGATAATCAATCGGATGTTTACTCTTTGTCTGAGCGACAGGTGTGTAGTCGCACTGGCCCTCTACACTCCTTTTCGCAAATTACTGAGTAAGATTCAAGGGCACCAATTGAAGAATCCCGGAAATGGGGTATCTACAACACCACAAATCTTCTGTTCAAGACATACTTCAAAGTACGATTGAAGCCCATTCCGTTTCTGAACGTCGTCTGACAAACCTAGCTCAACTCAGTCGGACTCTCGAAGAACCTCCTTCGCGCTCTTAGCGCTTCATCCGCCGATCTTCCTGAGCTGGAAGCTTTCCCTAAGTCCCACATAGTCACATTCAAGTACTATGTCGGTGTTATTCACTTTCTAGATGAGAACTACCGGGAGGTAAGAAGATCCTGGGGCAAATCTCCGTTAGTATTAGAGCCTTATTCTGATGATCTTCCGCAGGCGGAAGAACACCTAGCATATGCGTGGAACATGTGCCACAAGGGCGCATTCAAAAATCGAGAGTCAGTGAACCTTGCGCATGTCTCTATATCCTCACTAATGTCAGCAGGCTGATCCTCACATATCTTGTCCCCTGCCACCTCGTCACAACCCACACTCTACCATCCCAAAAACTTCTCGCGCCCTTTCCCAGATTGGAGAAACTATTCCGCCCCTTGTGCGATTGCATACGAAAGGGAGATTTGGTTGGATTTGACACAGCCATGTCCGCCGGAGAAGAGGAATTCGTCAAGAGACGCATCTATCTGCCGCTGGAAAGAGGACGCGATATTGCTCTGCGAAATTTATTCCGGAAGGTTTTTATTGCTGGAGGGTTCGAGGAATCCAAGGATGGCCAGCCTCCCATCCGCCGAACTCGTGTTCCTGTTGCCGAGTTCGCAGCAGCGCTGAGGATCGGCACACATGCGGATGACAGGTCTCGCGTAGACATTGATGAGGTTGAATGTCTACTATCTAACCTGATATACAAGGTATGCCATTCTTATTTATCATATAGAGCGATCGCAGACTGATTGACTGTTGCTAGGGACTTATGAAGGGTTACATTGCCCGGGAGCGAGGCATGGTCGTGTTGAGCAAAGGAGGTACCGCCTTTCCAGGAACCGGCGTCTAAAACCTCCACTACACCATTCAAGAGTACGACTTTAAGCTGAGCTTGAGTCAGAGCCGGGCTAGACCCGAAATTTGAGGCCTCCCAACAGGATCTGAATCTCACGACATCCAAGTGCTAGCCACCGAAGAAGGCCCTGCGCTGTCTATATACAGCCCAGTTCGCCATGATATCCTTTATGAAGCATGAATAGCCATCGATGCGACACAGCAGGCTATCATCCACTAGTAGGTAACTCTATATACCGACAGTAGAATGGCCACCTTAAGGAAGAGGTAATATCAATCAGGCTGTACTTCCTGCCTGTCGCGTGGGACCGACTGGATTGTTCGGTAATTGACATACATCAGCGTGGAAGCCTACATCATCTTGTATGACTTATACATGAGATTATGAACAAGAGCATCTATGCATGACACCCGTACTTCAAAATCTTCGCATGTATGAATTAGAAAACATCGACCAGGGTGACAAGAGTTCCGCTTTTGATAGAGACATAAAACAAAGTTACTATACACTGTGGGTTTTAAGGAGCGAAAATCAAATTGAAAATAGGGTAGGGTAAAGTAGAAAGGCGCCACAACCAGTCTGGATTGAAAGGGAATAATAAGTCGACAGACATCAGGATGCGAACTAAGCAAGAGAAGACTTAGCAATGGCGAGATCATCCTAAACAAAAGACAAAAGTCAGCTCCGTTCATAGAAAAGCCGTCCGAAAGGACAATACACACCATATGATTACACATCGCGACAAATAAGTCAAAGAATAACTTCCCACCCTTCTCCATCTCCATCTGCATAGTCCCGCTCCGCTTAAACGTCGATCGGCTCCGGATAATCAGGGCCAGATAGTGAGCGCGCAGCTTGGACTCGTTGTCTGACGTGTTGGCGTAGGCGTAGCGAGCGCTGCTCAGGATGGTACTGCACTGGATACCAGAGTGGAGGCCCTGTTTCCGCAAGGCAAGGCGCTTCAGGGGTTCGAGGCCGTACTTTTGCGCGGCGCAGCTGTTAAGCAGCTGTCAGTCTTCCGATGGTGTGTTGTCTCGCGGACTTAAAGCAGACTTACTAAACGGCTGTATCCCTCAGGATCACCGAGCCAGTTGCGTGGTGGAAAATGGTCGCGTTGGTGGTTTGGCCGTCTGTGTCTAGGCCGGTGTTCTCCAGCTCCCATGTATCGCGGTGCCGGTTGTAGATGGCTCGGGGGGTGTAGTCACCCTTGTAGAGGTATTCGAGGATGCAGGATAGGATCTCGGGCTGTTCGTCGGGTAAGGAGATGCTGATGCGCTTGTGAGGGGAGTCTGGTGATGGCGATTGCGCTTGCGCTCGGCAGCAGGCGGCTGCGAAGAAGGGGGATATGCAGAGGGTTTCTTCGTGGGCGGCGAAGAGGCGAGCTTCGGGGCCGACAGAGATGGTGACTATCGATGTACTTGACGAGCTGCGTCGTTAGCTTTCAACTTCCTGTGATAAAAGGAGAGTAGTCTTACCTCTTGGTAGGGGAACTGCCTGTTCTTTGGCGGCTTTCCAGCCGTCGCGATGGAGTACTGGGAGAGTCGCGGACGGGCTTCCTCACTCTCTGGGACGTTGTCGCTTTTCCAACACGATATCGCGAGGATAAGCTGTCGGTGGGACTCTGGGATGGTCGTTTGATGGAAAGCATGTTTTGACAGCTACTGCTGTGCTGTTGGGTCAACATCTTCAAGGCGCACTGAGCAAGTCAATCGAGCTGAGAGAAATGATAGGGTCTCAGGGGTTAATGGAGTAAAGCTGCAATTACTCGGTCAATAGTGAGACAGCTGACGGCGTGCTTGTATCTGTACCTGCGTCTGTAAGTACGACGATCAAGGGGGTGATACTGATACTGTCGAAACAACTGATGAACAGAGTATAAACTCCAGAAACTGAACCATCCTTAGAAGCTGGCTCCTCTTATAGGTTCTCTGCAGTACTGAGTGATTTAGACATCTACAACTCTAAAGACACCAGTCAACCTTTTTGGACCTTTCTTTGTGCATCTATCACAAATGTTACAGTTTGAGGGACCAACTGCAGGCGCGTAAAGACCGGTATTGCACGCGTAAAGTGGTTTCGACTGCATCGCCAAATGATCGCGCAGTCACGGGATTTTAGCCGTCCAATTAGTTATCAAGAAGGGTGAAGGGGGGTGGGGCGCTCGGATCGCCTCGGGCATTCATTGGATTCCTTGAGTAAAGAGACAAATGGAAAAGTTGATACATCCTCCTTAAGAAGCAGGCATTATCCAGGCCTAGATGAATTTTTCTAATAGAACAGGGGACTAGTGGGCGAACCAGACAAATAACATTATCTTCCGGTGACTATGCGCTCTCAAAGTCGAGGTTTGATAACACCCACCCATATGTGGGGTATATCTTGAAGGAATGTCTTCAGCTTCCTAGGAATCGATATGCAAGGGTTTGCAGTAAACTTAACCAAGGTGGGATTATCTGGAGAATATACACACAAATGACTTCCGCATGCCCTCATGACCTTGACACCGAAAACGCCACCATCCTTACGTAGTTGACAAGCAGAAGAGAACCAAAGAAATCCGGATTCCTAAGACCCATCCACATTCTCCATCAAGCCGACTCTTTCTTCCAGGCGCATGTTGGATGGTCCCCTATTCTTCATAGGAAGACCTTCCTTGCCTCTCGCGGATGGCTCTCATTGGGACAATAAGGACACTTGAATCTTGTACCTTTGCAAAGTCGTTTCAACGACTCTTCTGCAATAACATGACCGCAGGGCATCATCATCGGGGGATTCTCGTCTGTAGACTGTTCCTTGGAGACCGGACAGACAAAGATCGAATGGAATAGGTAAGAGGGTGGAAGTGGAATTTCGACCTATAAAGTATGTCAACTATAAATTCCTGGACACGATAGGGTGAACCGGACTGCTGCGACTCGACTTACTGGAAGTTCGTTTTGCGTGGTCCACTCTGTCCTCTTTGCTTTCATAATTGTCTGCAATTTCAAGAGAGTGGGTAGCGCTATCGCACCGGCAGTAGCGGCTATGTATAGTGGCGAATCGGCAGACAAACCCAGCAGTGAGCAGAACTCCCGAGTGAAAGATTGCGCCACATCAGACCATGCCGACGGATTGTCGAAAATATTCCGATAAGGCGACTCTTGGAGATTTGGAGAAAACGCCATTGCCCCCATCAGCTGCTGAATTTCCACCAAGTACCTGGGGAGAAAAACATGGAATTCGCGCCTGGCGTACTCCAATGCAGCCTGCGGACCAGCGACAGCAGGGCCTTGTCCGCCATGAAAGAGCCAGACGAACTGTAACCGGCACAGTTCGAATTCAAGGTTACTGCCTCGTGCCTCCAGAGATTCTTTGTTTTCCCTTGACCATTGTATAGCCGGAAGCAAGTTATTGTTCTCCTTCATCTCATGTAGTATGTGATACATCGTTGCAAATTGTTTGCGAACTTCGCCCGAAGGAACATCGTCGATATCGAGAAGACTCCTGGCGGCATCTGGGCCATCCGTATCCATATCGTTCTCTCGCCTCGAAGCTTTCTTTTCGGCTATTTCGGAAAGGAAGGTTGCGGCTACAGAGAACTGTCCCTCTCGTAACAGGTGCATCGCGATTGCGCGGTTGATGAGATGCTCTCGAGAAGATAAAGCATCATGCTCGGTGCTCGGAAGTGGTTTATCTTTGAAAAGCTGCACAGTGTCAGTTTCGAGAGCACCAGATATGCAGAAATAACTCGGAGACAAGACCTTATCTAGGGCTTTGCTGTACTTGTTCAGAGCGCTGTGGTGTTCCTTGAGGTTGTCATTGATCGAGTCGAATGATGATTTGACTGAATTCTGGAGCTTTGCTAGAGTTATGGATGCTTGGCCTGGATCTATACAACGATCAGTCAATGAACACCGCCAAACGACCAAATGGCCGCCAACCGACGGACGAAGAGGAACGAACCAGAGGCGATCGTGTCTCGCGCTGCTTGAATTAGATCTATCGTGTCTTGCACATTTTTAATATTCTGAGAAGCCTTCAGCCTCTTAGTGAGCCGTTCATGCTCCTTCCGAACAAGATCCATGACGGCTCTGGAGTGATTCGGAGATGGCGCTTGAAGCGGAGTAGGGTGATTTCCGCTATTCTAGCACCACGACACCGATAGCCATATGGGTGACTCGGATAGTGCCCAGCCGATGACTTTGGTTGATGTAAGGACAGTCTCTGAAAGGGTAGATTCGAAAATCAGGACCGACAAGTCAGGTGGAGGTGAGTGAGGTTCGATAAGCTATCGGCGACCGACAGTTCCATTACGACATGGGACATGGGACATCACGTGTTCTCAAATAATGCTTTTTACCCCTCTTTCGGAGGTATCATTCATATAACTAAGGTCATGGTATGATGCTGCGGGGTTTCATGAAGTAACCAACTGAATCTGAAAGCTGTTATTTCAAAATAATTTGGAGTAGTATACAATAGACGCTAGAGCATTTCCTATTCCGACTAATAATGGTACTCCGTAGAACGGTTGCAAAAAGCCCCCATGCGGAGTGGTAGTAGTCCGCTTTAAGGCGTACCTAGCAAAGACAACTTCAAACATTACACAAGTATCTTACAAGCAAAAAGGTTCGCTCCTCCAAATTCCGATCATGTCTTGGAGTCTATATTCGGGCCTTATGTCGCAAAGATCTCGCTCTATCATTATTGTAATGCCTTGCCTCGTACCTCTTGACAGAAGGTCGCGAATATTCGATTGCTTACATAAGATGCTTGATACTGTAGTAAAGAAAGTAATACTACTACCAATCATATTCGTGGCCGCCTAAGGGAAAAGCCTCGCTTACGCTAGCGCAAGTAGTGGGCCTTGGCAAATGTATATAACCTGGCTGCTCCCCCGTGTCTTTGAACTTTTTCTTCTTTTCTTCTCCATCCTGGTGCACGGGTTTTACACGTGTCAGTGAGGAGACATCCGAGACCGTGTTTTTGCTAGTTGAAAACTACCTAGTTGACCGCTTCAGTTGGTCTTCGGATCGACTGGGAATTTTTGAAAAAAAAGTTGCCCTGACTCCAAGTCTCGGTGTCAGTTTTTTGAGTTTTCTGCTTGTCAGATGCTCGAAATATCGGTCTTCTTTTCATCACTGTTTGTTTCCCTTGCGGAGGCCCGTGGAGAAGAGATTTACCGATTTGTTTGATGTTCTTCGTAGTCTGTACTGTAAGTCTAGAATGGACAGATAGGGGTCTCTAGAATCGTGTGCGGAATACTTCTGCAAATTTTGTCAGTGAACATGAAACTATTGTGGTCTCGACATTGGACAGGTCGCTCGCCAGGCCTCTCAGACTAGGTGCTATGTTTCCTCACGTTCGAACAAGATAGCAGTGCTCATCCTTCTCCATTAGCCTGGAGTATTAAAAAGGACTGACCCGATTCCCCAGAAGATTTATGATCTTGCCACAGAAGTAACTCCGTACTCCGTAGCAAGGTAGACTTGGGGCTGGTATCAGGGGCACTCATCCTTAGCCGACTCACCGCTTCCAGAATCCTGTGACGTCGCTGTTTAGTTGCGGTCAACTGTCTTTCTGGCAACTCTCTCTCCCAACTCCACATTTGAGCTCCTTTTGTGACGATGTTACGGCAAATTCATAGAAGTTCTACACCTCCTGTTTGAGATTACAGATGCTTAGTATTTCCTCCGGATATGTCAAGCTCCTTCCTTACGAAGCCAACAAAGCTAGGAGACCCCAGGAGGGTCAACATTTCATCCCCTCATTTCTGAGCTTGGTCTCAGTATTTTAAACACGTCAAATCGACAATCGATTTGAAGACACCAGCAAGCAGCTCTGGATATGACACAGTCGTTACCACTAATGCGATAGCTACCACGCTGACAGAATGCCACCGGCTGTTACCAGCGCACAGGCTGCGCCTCCTGTGGCAAACCGACGTGATTCTATCCCCTGCTCGCATACGAACGGACACATGGAGGCATCACCGCCGCACGGTCATCAGAAACTCGTATTCACTGATCCTGTAGCCCTTCGGTATCTGGAGGAGGACCCTGCGACAGTTGTGCTGCATCGACGCCTCATCCTGGAGGGTTACGAGATATACATCGTTGAGCAATGGGCTTGTTCAAGGGTACACCCAACATTTGTGATTACGACTTACACGGGCGATCCTTCGCACAAGGTCTTGGTGGGAGTCCTCAGCGTCCCAACTGACGAAAACACCTGGTCTCCGCGTTTGAAACTGTACTTCAACGCCGTCACGCAATGTCAAGCACGAACGAAAGACACACCTCTGGGCACTGTCATGGTAACTGACCTGAGCTCGTTTCCGTCTGCGCTGACGGTCATCCCAGTCCCCGACGGTGACATACTCCGACACAAGGAGGATTTTATCGTCAATGAGAACCTGAAACGGCTCTCCTGCGCCGGCCGGGCCGGCTTAAAGCTACAGCCTCCTTCACCTGCGACCGTGGCAAAGTTTTATCAACTCTATCGGACGAGCGAGCGAGTACCTGTGTATAGTGCTGTAATAGAGCTCGTCAAACAATGCCAGATCGCGCTGACAATGTTTGGCCTCTTGGCACCTGAATACGTGGATGGGCTGCTCTGCGATGTCACCGAGACCGCGATCAATGATTGGTGGACCGAGTTTGGGATCGATTTGTACAACATAGAACCAAGTGACGGCGTATTAGGACCGACAACTGTAGCTGCGTTGCTGGGTACATTCATGGGAGCTCGAAATCGACTTCATGCCTTCGGTGCCCCGGTAGCGAAAGACGCCTTCGATATACGCAGTCTCAAAAGGGCAATCGAGAGCTTTCAAAAGTCACAGAAGATGGAACGGACACGCAGACTGGACCGCCAAACTCTCGACCGGCTTCACCGTGTAACTGCCAAGGCGGCGAATGCAGAAGGCTGGACGGACGCTGTCAAGTCAACGATGGCCGAATTGAGCGGACATGGGGGTGAGATGGTCATGGGTATGGTACGGGGTCGTGAAAAGGGTGGCATCGCCGATATTGAGACCCTGGAGCTGGACAATTTCGCATCGCTAGTTACCGGTGAGAGAGCAAAGTGGCTGTGGAGGGGGAAGCCACGTAAGGGTGGGCTGGGTGATGGCTTCGCTCATGATCAGCCTGCTGCAGACATGATGTTCAACAGGGATGAACAGGGCAACTATGTGTGGACAAGCAGGAAACGCCATTCGCACGAAGATCTGGCTGGTGACCGATCCTTGCAAGGCTCAGACCGTCCGTGGAGGCAGCCTGAAACGGGGGCCGCACCGGACGAAAAGGATCAGAACCTCAGTCGCATTGTTCGGAGGGGTGTTAGTGGCAAGGTGTCGGACGCACGAATCGGATTTGGAAGGTTCAAAGAAGCAGTTGGACTGCCCAGCCTTCGATCCCAGCACCACAAGCAGACGAAAGACGGGGCGGAGTTGATGGGTGATGCGGCTTACATGCCGGCTATCGAAAGCGATGCGGAGATGCCTGTGCTAAAGACAGAGGCTGATGTTCACCTGACGGATCAGGAAAGTATTTCTGAGCCTCACGACCAGACACAGTTTGACGCAGCAAAGGCAGAGCCAGCAGCGAGTACTGGTGGTCCGACAGTCTCCGAATCGAAACCTCCAAAAATCACTGTTGATTCTCCGCGAGATAATGAGGAGACTGATTCAGCACGAAAACCCTCGACAAGTCAGCTGGAAGAGGACGAGTCAGATCTAGGGCGATCCAGGACGCGATCGACCGATGCATCTGTTAGTCAGGACGAACTCTCTCGATTCGATCTGATGTTATTGCGCCGACCGCAGAGTTGCATAGAGTCCACCACGACAGATGACTCCGAACGTAGAAGCAATGGTTGGCCTCGCCACCTGTCCTTCAGTATCGTTGAAGACGTCGTACTTGGCTGGGAGAGCCTGGGAGGCCGAGAAGCATTGCAGCCTAAGCCAGATGCCACTCTAGAGCAAGCCGTTGCGCTTGAGGATACGCTGGCCTCTGATGTACCAATGTTTAGTTCCAAAATCGAGGAGCTGAGCCATCACACTGTTCCTTGGGTGGAAAGACAAGTGAACTCGGTGGACGAATTGAACCGGAAGCTCTATGAGTCACACGAGAACATCAGCTCGATCTACCTAGACCAGGCTGAGAAATATCAGCAAATGAGGGAACGCTCCAGTGAGTTGTTGACCGAGGAGCACACCTACCTTGTCGATACCATGAAACGCGTCGAGATGATGGGAGCCAAGCTGGATTATGAGCTCAATGTCCTCGAGTCAAAAGTCGAGGATGTGGAGAGCGGCCTCGGGGAATTTGAGCGGCATGTGCTGGAGCTTGAAACAAGAATGAAAGGACTGATAAAGAACGAGGAAGAGAAGCAGAGCAATTCATGGTTGTCGCGGTTGGCAAGATTTGTTGGAATGTCTTCTACGTGATATACTTCGATCCTTTCTTGTCTTCGTGTTAAGCGTGATATCCCTGTATTTTTATATACCAATTCTAGTGTACATAGTGTGAATAGAGGCTCGGTGTCCATATCAGACGCATTGCAAACGGCACGACTCGGAGACAAAGACAGTAATGCTCGAGTATCCCTCCAGAGGCTCCCATAATAGACAAACCTGCCAGAACCAAGTGACATCTCGTAACCTATCGAGTAAGAGTCTTCATGGCAAACTCAGCATGGGATATCGTCCTGAATCCATTCGATCGCAAGCAAAGACAAACGTTGAGAGAATCCACGCCCAGCATGAAAGTATGACCTCACCGACGAAAGCGAACACAGGAAGAGGTTGTAAGACCATCGGTTCCAAACAAATCAGTCGATGCGTGCAAAATGCCCTTCCAGACAAGACTAGCGAGTAAAGTCTTCGTATCTTCCTTACATGCCGAATCCAGGAGCGCCCTGCTTCTGGGCCGCCTCGCCCTGCATCTTCTCGCTGACCTTGATGTTGACCTCAAAGAACTTGGACACGCAGCGGTCGAGGCAGACTGATTCGCCCTTGTTCAGGTCGCCTTCGCGGTAGTCGTTGGGAATACACTTCTTCTGGCAAGACTCGGTGAGACTGAGATTGAGTATAACTTAGCTGGGTTATCAAAGGCGGATGAAAGTAGGCCATGGTACTAGCTCCGGCACTGGCATAGAAAAAGAAAAGACTGGGGCGTCTTACCGGTTGAACATATCGGAAACCATCTCAACTTCTGTCTCTGCAGCAGCGATCTTCTCTGCCGAGGACATCTTGGGGGGACCGCCGAAGAGGAAAGACATGGTGATGGTATTTTATGGAGGGAGTTTGATCGAGTTCTGTGATCAGGTATCTGTGAAGCGGTTAGTATCCGTTAATAGCAATAACTGTCTGATCAGAAAGCGAGCTTCTGTACTGACTATTAGGAAGTTGGGTCTGGTGATGAATGGTAGCTCAAATTGATTCTGATGAGATATGTATGATATTGCGGCCCGAACGGAGTTGCTGCTATGAGCCGGGGAGCTAAGACCGTCTTTTCCCACCGCCTTCCATAAATTCATTGACCTTCTCATGTCCAGTGCAATTTCTTTTCTTTCTCTTTTCCCATCTTTAACGTGATGTGACTGTAGCTTTTCTCTTTACTATGCACTCAATTCGCCCCCGGTGGGCTTCACAACTGTGCTCGAGGCGTTCTCGATTTAGGTAAGAAGCTTCTTTTTTTCTTTCTTGACTATTTCCCTTCAATTGAATGATGAGAGACACATTCCTTTCCAGAACCGCTGCAGATGATGCTTGTTTCAAGCACTTGATCGCACCGGAGTCATTACCTTTACCTGATTCAATGCCCAATTCATATTCTTACTTTCGTCTGAGGAGAAATTATATTGCTTGAGTTGATAAGCTAATATGAGCAATCTATCAGTGCAGGATTGCCGCTTACTTCCAGTAACCATCGTACTTCTCGCTTAGCAGATAGTTTACTTGGAGCAATCAAACCGGTCTCATCATCATCTATACGTACAAGGCATAGCAGCAGCGCAGCCTCCCCGGATAAAGCATTCAGACACCGGCTTGAGGAGGTTCAAAATGCCTGTGCTGATCCATATCCCCGTCTCCCAAGTGACAACCGGTCGCTGAGCTGTGCGGCGTTCCGTGAGCGATATAGCCACCTTACCAGCAATCAAACAGTAGAAGATGACACTGTCATTGTTAATGGTAGGTTGCCGCTGTTTGGCCCTACTCGGTTGTCCTCTGTACTTAGATTTGTAGGAAGAATACGTGCCTATAGACTGGCCGGGAGCAAATTGATATTCTTCGATATCTTCCAGGATGGACACAAAGTCCAGGTTATGTGCAACATTCGCAAGCTGGACGGAGTAGCTCCCGATGCTTTCAAGAGATTTTACCGTCTCCTCCGCCGCGGCGATGCTTTCTGTATGTTGTGCCATATAGCCGTCCCCCGGATCACTACCCGAGACTGAACGATCTTCCATAGCCGTAACTGGTAAACCTCACCGCACAGGAACCGGAGAGCTCACTGTTCTTGCAACCGAGCTTCCTCGACTCCTTTCGCCCTGCCTGCACGATGTCCCCGTCGACGCCGAAGAGCATGAGACATCTCCCTACCCACGCCATGTCCAGTTCCTTGCCGACCAGAAGGCGGCAGATATCATCCGAGCGCGATCAGCTATCATTCAGTTTCTGCGCCAGTTCTTCCTCGACAGATCGTTTATGGAAGTCAGCACTCCCATCATTGGCTCGATAGCTGGCGGAGCGATGGCCCGCCCGTTTCAAACTTCCGCTACCGAATTTTCCGATAGGCAGCTGTCTCTGAGAATCGCGCCAGAGCTATGGCTGAAGCGCTTAGTGGTCGGAGGATTCGACAAAGTGTTCGAGATTGGCCCTTCATTTCGGAATGAAGGTAAGCCAAGACGGATACTTGATCGTGGATCGACATTGAGATGAGTGACTGACATGCTGTGACAGGGCTGGACAAAACGCATAACCCCGAATTTACAACATGTGAATTCTACCATGCATACGCCAACCTCGAAGATCTGATGTCTATCACCGAGAACCTCCTATCAGGCATGGCGGCCCATATTCAGGAGTTCAACAAGAACGCCAGTCTGAAACCCCCAGAAGTCGACTTCTCGGCTCCCTTCCGTCGAGTAGACTTTACCACCGGCATTGAAGGCAAGATTGGCCGCAGACTCCCTGACCTCACCACACCAGATGCCCTAGACCAAGTCAACCAGCTGTTCAGAGACCTTTCCCTTCCTATTCCCAAGGACCCTACTCTCCCTCGTCTCCTGGACGAGCTGTGCGGCACCTACCTTGAACCCGAATGCATCAACCCAACCTTCATCATCAACCCTCCAGAGTGTCTCTCCCCGCTGTCAAAGTCCTTCATTCACCCCGCCAATCAGCAGCGTGTTGCGGCGCGCGCAGAGCTCTTCATCGACGGACGGGAGATCGTTAACACCTACGAAGAGGAGAACTCTCCCTTTGAACAAAGACGGAAGTTCGAGGATCAAGTCCGCTACAACAAGGGCACAGACGAGCCAGCGGAGATTGACGAGAGCTACCTTGAAGCGTTGGAGTGGGGGCTCCCTTCCACCGGTGGCTGGGGATGTGGCATTGATCGCCTCTGCATGCTCTTCACGGGCGCTAAGAGGATCGGAGACGTCCTCCCTTTTGGGAATCTCCGCGCCGTAACCCGTCGGCATGCTGGTCTGTCAAGGAGTACTGGTTGAGGGACTTGATGATGGCTGTATGATATTTCTCTGCTTAGATACCTGTACAATATTACGACTGCAGAACATCGATTCTCCAACTCCATCTCATGCATAACACGTCTGAAATCTGTGTGTTGACGTAAAGATAGCAAAATTCACTCGAATTGCGGGTTCTAGGGCTAAGAGGCCGGTCCGCGACATCCGCTGTCACTGCATCACAAGAAGAGAACCAACAAAAGAATCACCGACGGCAACAGTCACAGTATTCTGCCTCATTAGAAATCGCGTCATCTATAAGGCCGTTGATATGGCTCATCCCCTGGGACTAGACTTTATCACTCCCGGAACAGTACAGCCTTGGTGAGTCCGCCGGGGTCAACCGACAGGAGCGCGGCCCGGACCGAGGGGGGGGGAGGCGGGGGCGGCGCAGCGGAGGCGGGAGCGGAGATGACGACGCCAACCAGGGCGCCCCCCCGGCCGCGAGACGCTCCACGCCCGCGACCAGCGCGAGCAGCAGCACGCCCACGACCGGGAGGGCGACCCCGGCGGCCACGAACCGGAGCAGGAGCAGTGGTGGCGGCAGCGGCAGGAGCAGCGGAACGACGAGCAGCGCGGCCACGACGGGCGGCAGAGCCGCCGGAGCGAGTATTAGCCATGTTTCTATACGCGAAGTCAGTATACGTCCAAATTCCGGCAAACGCAACGAGGGATTCGATGTGTTATAAGCCGACGGGGCCGACAGCTGTCGACGCAGAAAGGAAACAAAGGATACACGCCCAGAAGAGCGTTAAATCAAAGGAAACAATGAGAACAAGGCTGCAAGGAGCATCGAACGCATAAGATAAAGTGAAGAGACGCGACAAAGGAAACACAAAACAAAACAAACAAGCCGACTGTCGCAGATATTGCGGGAATCCCAGCCAAATCGAAGACAAAGACCGCAGAACACCGGAATCCTCCGCAAAACAAAGAGCAGACGCGCCCCTGCTCGAGAAATGATGAAATAATGAGAAAGGAAACCTCCGAGCAACGACTGGAAGCTACCTCCATACTGGGAGCTGCGTGTGCTTCGTCGAAGCAGCCATGCGATCGCACCAACACAAGCGAATCGCGTCAACTCGCAACGGGAGAACCAGCGACCGCGTGCGCTCGCAGAAAGAAGGAGATACAGATCTTGCGATCGCGAAGACGATCATGCAAACGATAAAGAAGCACGCAGCGAAGGAGAACGAGAAAGATCACTTACAAACGATGAATTTGACGTCGCTGGAGAGGGAGAAGAAGGAGAAGAAAACGATAACGCTGGGATTGACATAACCTGCACCATAGAAAAAGGAAAGGTAAAACCAGACCCTCTAAGAGCGCGGTTGCAAATTCTCCGTCAGATGCTCCGAGTGATTTGCCTTGGAAGTCTGGTTGCGTACGCGAAAAGGCCAACACAGAGAGTTTCCGAGCCACTATTCAAGGTCATCCAGGACCTGGACGCCCAGCCGACTGGCTGGCTGGCCCAGCATGCGGCGGAGACAATCCTCCGCATGCCTCTGGATGACCTCGGCCAGCATCATCCGACTCCGCAGACGCACGCGCGTCTCCCGTAGCTGCTATGACCAGCGGTTTGAGCAGGTCGTGGAGGGACGCGGCTAGCAAGGAAAACGAGGAAAACCAGAGGCCTGCTGTCGGATCGTTGCCTCCGATGTAAACCCCACGGTTATCCTGGTTTCCGTGTCCAAAGATAAGAATGATCAAGGTATATCCGTCTCTCTTTGCGTACCGGCTTCGTCCTCCACGGTCTTGAAAAACCGTTCCAAGACGATAGTCCTGTCCACAACGCGAATGTTCCCTGCAAGTTTGATCTGACTGAGAAGGTCTCTTTCAAGCACAACTTGACGTTCCTTTCTGAGGCCGCCGTGTGCACTACCAGGGGAGCCCCAGTGATATGAATTAGCGCATCATCACAGTGCTAGGACATAACCACCTTCTGAACCGCCTCAGGACCAGGTACCCTTTTCGCTCGGTCTCCTCTTGTCGGGCGGCTGATCGACTCCCACTTCTCAATAGTGATCGCGTTATTCGTCTTCTGCACAGAAATGGGGAGGACATTTTGTACTTCTCTGATGACGTCTTGCACGGGGCCTCTGGGCGCGACCAGTAGTTACCAGCCTTTGCGAAGTCTGCCCGGATCTTACCAGTAGGATCCACTTCGAATACCACTTACGGGAAGGGGAAGTCAGGGAGACCAGGCTTTTTTTTTTCTTTTCCATGGTTACGAGCAGAAGTACTCAAGTCGCTGGGTACTGAAAACAAGTCAGACTGGCAAGGAGTCGAGCTCTGGTACGTTTACCAGTAACGGGTAGTAGCATTTGGGAAGCTACTTCTGATAGCCACCAGACGAGCAGACATGTCACCAGGAGCAAGGCAGAGAACCCCGACGGCACCACTTCCTTCCTAGGGGGAAATAGCAGATATAATAATAATAATAGTAAAACCGTCCAGTAAGTTTTGCCTGTGCCTGGGGGCCCTTGGATAACACCAAACCCGCCAGGTAAGCTGCGGGTGGCGCGACTTGTCTGCAGCTCGCCATTGTAGAAGAGCGAACTGACCAGCTGTGCCATGCTCTCATGCATTCGGTGTTGCTCCGTGAGCATGACGGCATGCAGACCATTCCGGTGAAGCCGAGAGAATAGCCACATCTGGAGCTGGTCCACCAGAGGGTTATGCCCGCTGCTGAGCAAGGTTGCGGTTTGGCGAAGCCTCTCAAAGACACGAATATAATGATCATCAGTGACACCATCAGGAACCCAGGCCGATGACTGGTGAAGGTATACTTATTTCTATCAGGTATGGACTGCCTAGCTTAGGTAGTTCGTCCGTGCCCAGGCGGGCTGTTGAAATCATGTTGCGTGTCCCCTCGCAAGTCGGCCACCAAAAGTCTGAGAACCTTCTCTGACCTGGATTTCAGTCACCATCGGCACCTGGCCAAAGGTAGCACGGGCGATCCGCATGACCTGAGCAATAAAACAATGATAATTTATTCCTGGGTGAAATGCCTCCACCCAGAACAGATCACCGTCGAGGTTTGGATCAGAGGTGGTACCATGAAAAGCAACATTGATGAGTTGCGCATCATCAGTAAAAGGAGCACTGCAATTCAGGCAGTGAGGCATGATTACTGTTATAATATTAGCCAGTCTGATGATTACGGATAGAGTACGGGCAGGGGTTTTCATAAGAAATAACAGATAAAAGATAAAGAATGGGAGGCTTACCTGAATAGCCCTTGATGTAGTTTAATAAGCAAGAGAAGTTGCTGAGAAGGAGGCTCCGGTAGTAGGATAAACAGGAGAGAAGCTTAGGATGGATTAAGCGTGAGACTCCCTGAGAGGAGAGCTTCCTAGGAAACGAACTATTTTCAGGCGAGTATGATTCGTAAAGACCAACGGCCATGGATCACTGTGTCTTTGCTATTATCCTATGGATAGCATCGGTTTTGTTTGCCGTGCTGATATCCTTTGCGATTCGCAGCATAAGTAGCTGGGCCTCGTTTGACATAGTCGCTGCACTTTAGGGACAATCTCTGGTGGGAATGATCCCAATCGCAGCTGCAGCCTCCAAAGCGTTGTCGTTAAACTGCGCTATATCCACACCTTTGTCCAAGAGCAACTTGGTCCAGGAAGAGGCCGATGTCCCGCGTTCAATCTCGAATCAGTAACTGTCAAGATAGTCGAAAGAGAAAGAAATTTGGTGTCCGCTGGCATAGCTCTCTTACGAGTTATGGCCATGGCCTTGCACTCAATGACTGCATGGACTCTCTCTGGCTCCTCGGAAATTAGAGGAGCTCCATCTGTCCGAGCCTCAAGTTCATTAAACCCAAACCGCACCCTTCACTGGGAACTGCTGCCTATCCATTCTGTGTGTACCGTCTGGAGTCTCTGCCCAGAACAAGACCAGAAAGGGAAGAGCGCAGATAGGTTCTGAAAGAGGCAGACAGTCGGCGGTTATTAGACGACTCCGGACATCTCATGCGCAGGTTGGGATCAATGCAGATCTGAGCTGTCAGGTCAGACTCGGTAGGCCAAGCATCAATGGATGAAGAGATTGGGAGTCCGCAACACAGACAGACCAAAGGCGAGTTTACTCAAATCTCGACACCGTTCAATCAAGCAGGAGGAAAATTCACACACGCTTTGCCCTTGCACAAAACAAGGTGGTTATCCAGTGCTGAGCGCATGGCAACGGACAATGATAGTCTCACGGCCGGGAACGAACTGTAACCGAGCTTCCTCGATCCCGACTGCGAGATCATTGACCGCATCGTTGATCGTGCTAAGAGCATGACCTAATGCCGTCTGCCGGTATGACGATTATTGTATGCAAGGAACAGGAGAAAAACTTGGACCGCCCTGTAGGTTTTCCCAGTGCCGAGATAACGTGTTGTAGTTTGCCAATGGATCAAAGCTTTTCATGCAGGAGCCGAGGTTTGGCGTTCTGGATAGGACTCAAAGCATCGATCTTAGTCACCGAGGGTTCCAGCATCACCCAGCATCGCCCAGCATCACCACATACGCTTGCTTGCCCTTGGACCCGTGCCATTTCCAATGTTCAAAGAGGCCGTCAATACAAACAAATTCAAGACCAAGACTGCCATACTCTGTTAGCATGAGGGAGCACCGACGGACTGTCGAAACGTACGGGTTCGCAGAGATCATGGCGTTCCACGCATTGCCTGCACTTCTTAGAGGTACCGTTCATGACCTGACAATCAACGAAAGAGGCGATGTTGCTGTTGGGATCCCAGTTCTTCGCCGAGGTTCTAAAGCATGGCATACGCCAAAATTTGCGAGCAGTGAGGCGATCGGCCGGTTGACCGGGGTCAACGCCGCCATTTCCAAGGCAAGGAGCTTGATATAGTCAAAGAATATAATCGCAGAATTGAGCGTGATGAAGACGAAGCGAGTCGAAGCCGATCGACATCTTCGAAGTCGGTGATAGAAATCGGCCAGGACAAGACGGCCCCGTCTAAGGGGTTACGGCGGCGGCGCTTAGACGAAGGGGACCCAGAGGTCGAAAAGAGAAGTCTTTTTGTTGCACCTTTGCCCTTGTCAACATCGAAGGAGGGAGGACGACGAGGTGTCTCTGCATTCGAAACGAAAGGGTCACTGGCGACAGACGAGGCCTTGTTAAAGCGCCGACGTGTGCTTGACGCTGGAGTCGAAGCTTTGTCGACCTCTCGAGCACGGTCAGAACGAGTCTGGCGTCTAGTTCCCGTCGCCGGCGCAGAAGAGGCAACCTCAGTAGCCACGGGAGACGAAATGATCACGGAGGGGGCGGTGTCATCCAGAGGCCAGTCACGAACCGGGTCACCACAATCCACGGCCCGAAGGCCACCCTGTTGTAGAAGGATGCTACAAGAATTAGTACAAACCGAAAAGGAAACAAAGGAAAAGCGAAAGAAGGCAGAAGAAGCCGAAGGAGGCACCCACATAGCATCGTCACTGTTCCAATGCGAAGACTTCCCAGCGTAAAACTCGCACTGGACCCCTCGACTGTGCCAGATACAATTCGCACATGCGCCTGCGAACAGCACTCAACGTTTATCATCATCACCAACGACTTCCGGCGCCGCAACACATGATGGGAATACTCCCCCATTTTTCGCACAGTGTGCGCAAGCTTCGATTGCTACTTCGCCGCGACGTTGCAACAGGAAGGCATCCGATGGCATTGGTTCTTGAGACTTTTCTTAACCTCTTTGCCATTTTTCGTTGTCTGCAGGAATCGGGAACACTTCTTCCTTTTCGATGATACCTGAATCGATGCTCTTAGGAGCTTTTGCTCCACGTATCAGTTATAGGATAATGGCATATCGCGTAAGATAGTATACTTTCCCCGAGTTAGATACAGCGCTTGCAGAAATTGAAAATCACAGTGCCATGTCGATGGTAGCCGTAACAGCCGTCTGCTATGACAGGCCATGCTCGTTAGGAACGTGCAATCGGCCATTTATTCGGCCAGCCTCACGAAAGAACTGCTGAGGAGGAGTTCAAGGTCAAGAAGACCAATTACTATGTCTGTAAAGATGCGGGTGTGGTCTTCACCAACTTGTATTCGAGGTCTCAAGATCGAGTGGATTGTGATACAGGAGACCGATTATGTTCGGAACGGCTATGCCATGGCAAGTCATATTCCGTTTCTTTTTTTTGTCTGTAGGGGGTAAATATGGCGTGGCGTCCGAGGCCTCTTCAGGAGTATCCTGGCACTGGGAATGAGCACATGTTCGAGTACCCGAAATGACAGACTGACTCTGGCTCAGCTGAGGACGACATTTTGAGCTGATAGTTCGTTAGGAACCCAGCGGCAATTGTAAAAGACCGTTCAGTAAGTTCACTGCACGAACATTGGTTACAGCGTACAAAGTGCTGCTTGACCCAATTCTGTCCACCGAAAATTGAGTGTACGCGAGGTATATGGCGCTGTTTCCGGTGTCGCCGAATTTGGGAACCTGCAGACTGATCTTGCTCCACCGCTTCATATCTCTCTGCGGGCGTTTTGAGGGCGACCAAAACGTCTGTGGAAGTAGATTGTCATAGGAAGCGTCCCAGTAACCAACCCAAAAGCCGCATCGATCATTCCCTGTTGGTCAACATACTGCTGTTGCTAAGAAGGGCGTATGATGACGAAGGCTGGCGGACACATATGGCACTGGACGGCAGGCTAAAAGGATTGAACACGCATTGATACGGCGTTGGATCTCCTCCTGAGACCTCCTGGGTCGTCAAATCCCAATTCACAAAGTCATAGTCGTCAGGCCACTAACTTGCTGGTCCAAGGGTTTCTACCGATTAAGAGTATTCATCAGGGCAATGGCCCGCTCCCGGGGCACTGTTGCTTGGAATACATACTTGCGCATCATGCCGCAAATATTTCGGACGAAGAGACAAATTGACTGGATGTTCATCAATATGAAGAACTGCTTATGGCTCTGTAGCCCTGTCTTTGAACTTGCATGACTGGGATGTCTCCTGTGTGGCAGCCCTTCTGTACTCAGAATGCATTCTGAAAGATCGCTCCGCAGAGATGGGAAGCTTCATGCTTCGGTCATGCACGGGCATTGCCGCGCTGAACTGGTAGGCTTCTTGGTGGAGAATTTACACGCCAACGGACTCGTGGGGCCCTGATTCGGGAGAACTTCATCTTCCGACTAACTACCTGTCAGCTACAGCGACACAATGGGAACACATATCACCAGGAAAGGGGCTACTCACGGATGAGTCGTCTGGCAGGTGGATATGCTGAGTTTGTTCTTGGTAATTTGGTTCAAGGGAGACTCTGACCAACCAGCCTCGATGACAACAGTGGGGAGGGACTGGCCGACAGGTTTGATCATACCATCAAACGTCTGCCTTCTGGAAGCCGCTGTACGGACAGCAAAGCGTCGACGAGACACAGGGCGTTGATGCGGATGCAGCCCTGAGCAATTTGATAATAGGCAATATCAATAGAATCAGAACTCTAGGGAAGAGGTGGGCTGCTGTCGCAGTAACAGCAAAATAACGTGCTGGAACGTTTGTCTGGCGAGACGTCAGCAATGCGAACATGGAGGAGCCTTCGAATCTAACGGCATACCAGACGCAGCCCATATCTTCGAGGCCAGAATGCCGCAAGGAAAAGGAAGCACTGCCGAAGGGATGGCCTTGTACTAGATGCTACTTGATTGTGCCAAATGGATCATCCTATTATGAAGATTTGGTGGCAGTGGAAGAAGAAATGATGAAGGATGGTTGGCTAAATATGAAGGTAAGAAGGAAGCCAAGTTTACCTCACATGGTGAATAGTCTGAAAGGGCCGTCTTGCTCTATATAAAGTGAATGAGCCATAGTAAATGATCAGATTGGAAGAGGAGAGTGGGTTTATATGCTGCGGAATCTTCCTAACCATCCACCTCAAGTGAATGTAGATGATCCTAGCATTCACTGCTGTTGCAATCTCTCCATGCATGAAGCAAAGGCCTATGTGTGATGCAATCTAAAGCAAGCAGGCCCACGCCATGCCAAAGATGCTGTAAGATCCCGGGGTATATACAAAGACCAAAATATGAAAGTGACGAACAAAGTCAAAGGACAAGCCCAGGCTGTCTATAGAACTGGGCTCTCCCAAGAGTCGCGTTTGATCTTCATCAAAGCTGACTGCTTGTGGGGGAACGTAACTTCTCCTTCTTTGTAGAAACCCGCATTTTGAAGATATTGAATAATCCTGTTGCGTGTCAGCAAATTCTTGCAGCCCAAGAACCGGGATGAAGCTTACTTCTCATTGTCCACCCGTGGCTCCAGCATGACTGTCTGCGTCCGCAGATCCGCAAGCCAGCAGTAATGGACCAATGCACTGAGCCAGATGGCAACCCGGTGTGACCCACGGTATTCCTGTTCTCCCACCAGTAAGTGAATTCCCCGGTCATAATTGTCTGCCCCTCCGATAAGCGCTCCCAAGCGATCCTCTTTGACCCAGTAGATTTCAAAGTACCCAAACGGCTTGCCGTCCCAGCATCCAATGACGGGAAAGCTGTGACGGCTGGTAAGATTATTGCGAAGGAATTCCTCTTGTTTTTCTTTTGGACCTCCCTCTCCCCAAGCTGCACTCACGCGCGGGTCATTCATCCACTTGTGCAGCAGGTCTAGGTCAGACGGCGTGTTCTGAGGCGGTTGCTCAATGCTGCTCGTTGAGAGACTATGACCATGGCCCCGACTTGGCGTCGCAGACGAGGATAGAATCGGCACGCGGAATGACAGGTACTGCCCGACGCTGGGAATGAACCGGATGTAGAACACTTCTCCCTGATGGGGCGGCTTAGGTCTGACGGGGTGCCGCAGTCCGTTTGTGAACGTGTACTGAGTTGGTGGCGGCGGAAAGTAGGTCGGAAGGTGGCTGCTAGAAGCAAACGGGCCCTCGTTGGGCATGTGTAGTGGAAAGTCCTTCCCCGCGGAGGAAGCTGGAGACTCAGCTGACATCGGGCTCTCACGCGATGGCGACGCAAATCTGGGAGAAAGGAAGGGCGATGACGGAGCAGAATGCAGTGGGTTTGCAGGAACCAGCGTGAAGACAAAAAGACGGGGGTCAATCTGCCAGAAGCTGCGTCGGCTCACGAACATCCGTGACCAGGCCCCAGATTCTCGCGTCTCGCTCGGCTCAAGCCCAACGGAAGATTCCTCCGATGCAATGAGTCCCATGCGTTCCAGCTTCTGCAGCAAATTGCGTCCCTTGAAGATCCCCTCTCTCTTGAGATGGATGCGCCATTCTCCCTTCGGTTTGCCTGTGAGCGGTGTACGAGAAGCAGCGTCCGTCTGCAAGTGGAGGTCTGGCTCGGGCTCGTGGAAGTACCAGTAAAGGCTCACCCAGATCATCATCGCGATCTGACGAGTCGGAGAGACGGGAGGTTTGAAGTCAGTACTGGGCGGATTGACGATAAACGAAATGTAGAAACAGTCATCGCTCAATGTTGGTGTTGTGAAGCGAGTGGTGCGTGTCTTCTCCTCTGCCTCTCCCTGCGCATACCGAGAGCGACCGCGCTCTTCTTCCGGGGGCACGGAGTCCTGCGTCGGCTGATCAGTGTTTTGGTTGGTATAGAGAACAATTGTCCAGCCGGGAGGAATTATGGAGTCTTTCAAGTGCATGTCATTGGACTTGAAGTTGACACCGCCGAAAACTGGGGTCACCGTGTAGCTTTGGCCGTTGGGCAAACGGCAGGTAGTGTTACGCATGGTGAGGGCGGACGGTCTATTGTTTGGAGAAGGGAAAGACAAAAAGACACAGGGCTCAGAGGATCAGGCAAACATGAGCTGAAAGAGTAGATAAAGTATGGAGACAAGGGCGGATACATGAGCCGACGGAAATCCCACAGTGCAAGTGGGATGATTTTCCTTACTTGCCGCTCATCGATGACGAAGGGGACCCCGCCATTATCGATCTTATCGCCCACAGGATGTTGACCGAGAGGATCCCCGCCATTGTATACAAGAATCCATATCATCACAGTCCTTGCATTCATTTGGTCTTATTGTTTAGTTTGAGTATTAAATATTGTGTTGGTCGTGCTACTATCAGTCTCAGAAGTGATTGATGAGCTTTCCCTGATGTCATACTATGTGGCGGAGGTCCGCAGATGCTTGCAGCCATAGTCAAATCGATTGAAGGGTATAAGAAGCGAAACTGGTCCGGTAAAATACAGGGAAGAATCGACACTTGAGAATCATATTCTAAAAGTCCTCCACGTTGGTTCCCAAATTTCTTGTTCGAGCCATCTGGATGAGATCGCCTCCGGTCACCAAGTCCATCAAGCCCATGCCGACGCTCTTGTAGATGACATTGCCTCGTTCGACCCACTCACGCAGGCTCTTGGTGTCTTCCCGGTCCTGGTTGTTGTCCTTTCGCGATGCGTCCCGTACCATCAGCAGCTCTCCCAGCTCAACAACCTGGTTCGGCTTGATCCCCGCCTGGATCAATTCACCAGCCTCCTTCAGAGCAGCCTCGAGACTGTCGACGACCACGACGCCACTACGGTTAACGTGCTTGTGGAAATGCCGACCGGAATGGTGAGCCTTCACTTCGTCGCGCAGAATATCTGGATGCAGCTCGGTCATGTGAGGATTGTACGACCC